GGTATAGAAGCTTCAGTCTGACAGCTGTTGACCCTCTGATGAGATGAAAACAGTGGCTTGACAAAGTATCCTTTGAGGCAATATTCCTCGAAATGTCACTGCTTAGTTTTCCAATAACGCATCATGATGATCCAGTTTTAAAGCCCAACTTTCTACCTGGTGTACAGTAAATGGTTTACAGGTTACATTTTCCATCAGCCTTGATTATTACTGGAGAGGAAAAAACCTCCCTGCTGCAGTTACTAACACTTCTGACATACTGGGTGGTTTTAAAATTTTGGTGTCCAAAAGGTGCAAAATGAAGGGGGGGTGGTTAACTGCCACTTATTTGCTGTTTAATCTCGTGACTCATAAACTTTGTATGCGGTATTAAATTACAAGCTGAGAGTGAAAAAATGAGATGTAACGTTTTGTTGATACTTCCAGAGTATTTTCAGAGACAACTCAGTAAGTTGCTTATGCACATACTTAAAACGGTGCATAGCTTGTACAAAGGCAACAGGAGTCCTATTGTGGTACAGAAAGAGCTGTTAATGATGAGTGTTTGGCTTTTAAGATCAGTTCTTGGGAGTGTAGTAAACCAAGCATCAATAAAGCTGTTTGACTGGGATAGAATGGATTTGTTATTAGTCAGCTCAGCTGACTGGAGAAAGTGATTTTACTCACATTTACAGATGAAGAGAAACAAGGAATGCAGGTCTGGAAGGACTAGATGTATGGTGCTACTGCCTTAACCCAGTCTGATCAATTTTTACTAATACGCAGGTGTACTATTGCCTTGAAATACCTGTGTAGTTTTGGTGGTCCTGTTGGAGGTGGTGGAGGCTGGCATTGGGGAATTAATAGTTAGCTCAGTTTCCTCAGTTTTGTGCTTGGGACTGTTGGGAACAAGCAGGAGGAGAAGAGCAGGCAGGTGGGGTAAATGTGAGACTGGAGATGAGAATAGGAGCCACTCTGGGAAGAAAAAATGTAGCAACCTCAGTGCAGTAAGTACAGAGAAGTTGAAATGGAGAAACTACATGTGAAGAAGGATTGTTCTTGTGATGCATCTCTCAGCTGATGCTTCATTTTGTCCAAATGAGGCTTCTGCAATAAGAGAGTAGAAAGTTTTGTTCCCTTAATAGGTCACAGATGACTAGATGGGACTGTGTTGCTTGCTCAGAGTCCTACAAATATTAGGCTAATTTTAGTGCATTCTAAAAAACTCTAGAACAATTTGTAGAATAGTTTTTCAGTGTATGTAACTACATCATCAAACTTGATATTTTCATTAAGAGTGAATTTTAGTTATCTGTTTGGGTTTATTATTTCCTGGTGAAATATCTAACGCATGTTAGAAAAACTTTTTTAAAATAAAAGCAGCACTGTAGCTGATAACAAGTGTCATAAGCATCATCTTTCTTACAAAGACCTGGTAGGTGATGGCTTTAGCTTTTGGTTACTGACAGAGTAACTTCCTGGCAAGGGACTGAAAGAGTGAAGTGGTTTCAACTGCTGACCACTGCTTCAGAACTGATGAATGAACAGAAGAATGTAGAGAGTATGTTTTAGATTAAGTGATTTTTAGGTGAAAGGCTTAAATATGCACTCCCTGAATGTCTTTGCATTTTGCCTATTAAAAATCTGGAGTTTTAAGAGAAGATTTGTGAAAGTGTATGTTGTAGGGTAGTCATGATTTTTGTGATATGCTAGTAGCAGAGTGTAAAACAAAACAAAAAGCAACCAAAAACCACCCAAAAACCCCAAACAAAACCAACCAAACTTTTTCAGAACAGTTGATTAACATTTCTTTGGAGACAGGTTCCTTGGTAATTTTTCCCGTTTTTTGTCAATGCTACTAATGTGCATGAGCTATATATTTCTATATATATCTTTGGCCTGTTTTCCAGGCTTGATATGTTGATCTTCTTTTCTGCTTGAGAGTACAGACTGTACCTGAGATGATAATGATTCAAGCTAAGACAGTATAAAATTAAATTTCAGTTTTTTTCATCTCAAAACAGAATTATTTGACTCTTAGTTTGTAATGTGCATAAGCATTCTGCACATGTAATGTGCATAGAACATGCATTCTATTCCTTCCCTGGGAAGATGAGGCTTGACTTGGTCCTGATATGAAATGTGGCTCTTAAAAATCCCAGTCTTCCTTAGGATGGAAAAACCATTCCCTTTCCTGAAACACATACTGAAACTTCTTCCTAACAATTCAGTAAAGTATTGTTCAGGAAGCCAAGACAGGCATATTTACAATGTACTTACTTTAAATGTTGCTTAGACTTTATTAATTCGAGTAAATATGCACTCAAACATGGAACCGTAGTGGTGAGGCTGCAAAGTAGTGTATTTAGCAAGGAAGCCTGAAAACTTTTTGAGTTTAATTTGCTAATTTTCATAACTAGGTATTATGGTAGTCTTCAGTTGCACAATAATATTAAACGTGGGGAAAAAGAACATATTGTACACTGTCAAACTCACTCTTTGATTACAGAAAGATTAACTTCGGTTGGGCCTCCTAGATTATCGCAAGCATGAGATTAAAATGGGAATAACAGGATTTCTTGTATAACGTATTGATACTGAAAAAGATTAAACAAGATTCCATCACTGGAATGGTTAGGACTGATGTTCTTTGGGGAATTTAGTTTTGCATTTCATATATTCTGTAAAGCGCTTTTTTTTTTATTTCTAGCTGAGTATGTAAACTTCCATGGCAGACCTCAGGTGGACTCCCAGAAAACCTAGACGCAGTTTGAGATACTACTAGCCCTGTCTCCCAGATGAATTTTGGCTAGGATTAAACCAATTTCCTGCAAAAATTGGCTTGGTAGTAATTTCTTTTACTAGAATATTCTGCTTGGACCTTAAAGTTCTTTAATAAACCGTATGTGCAAGGATGGCATTTAGATGATGCCGTTTTAATTTGAAAACAAACTAACAAAAGTCCCTGGAACAGTACCGATGCTTAATTTCCTCATCAGGAAAGTTGAATCCTTTTGGTCAGTGGTATGAAACTTCTGTGCCACTTAGGTAAATGGTAGCTGATGAAGTTTAATGCAGTCAGGACTAGTGCTAAAGGATGCTAAAGCCTTCATTTTACTGAGGAGTTTAGGAAGCATTTGCTACCTAACAAATTTAAACCTTAGGGGTTACATTCTGCCAGTGGAGCCTGGTTTATTACTGTAGTGTTCTGTGCCCGTGTCCTCTGCGCATGTTCTTTTCTATCACTTTTTTTTTTTTACTTGTCCCTGTCCCAGTTGCGTGTGTTTCTCCAGTTTATCTCATGATGTGCTATTCTTCTGTGCATCAAGGTCTTCTGCATTCCAGTCAGACTCCTTATCTTGCTTTTCCTGGCCCAGGCAGCCAGTACAGTGAGTGTTGATAGTAACGGTAGACACCTTGGTTCCAGTGTTTTGTTACACTGTCTCAGAAACTTCAAAGAAATTTCTGCTCATCTTGTTTCCAGGAAATAACACACTTGTATTTCTGGGTATCTGTTTGTGTGTGGGGGTGCAACAACAGAGTATGGCAGATGAAGATGCTATCTTCATGAAACTCCAGAACCACATCCACTGAGCTGTTGTTGGTATTCAGGGTAACCAAAGGGAATGGTTTCCCTACCCGTTTAGAGGACAACAGGTGGAAGACTTAGTACTGTCTTTCCTGGCATTACTATTGTGTGGATGCTGGTTGGCTGGAAACAAATCTTACAAAACTGCTTTCTTACATTGGAATTTGTTCTCTTTGACAGCATAAGGTGCAAGTGTGGTTATGGGTTGGAGAAGTGCAAGACTTAACTTTTGGCAGCAGCTCTTCTTCAGATCTGTAGAAGTGTATTGTAAAAACCTGCATTTCAGAAGCGACTTAATTTAAGATTGTGATCAGAATTGCATTTTCTGCATTTCTTCTGGAAGTCCAAATATTTTAATTTGCAGCAGCAAAATAAAATAACAGTTGCTGGAGTTGTGTGCTGTTCTGTTCAGGGTACCTTGATTAAAACTTATGATAACAGGAACTGTAGCATTTTTAGTACACATATGTTAGTGGATGACTTCCACTGGCGTTAGTAGCTGTACAGGTATTGTGTTAGGCAGTGAATTATATGATAATTTTCATCAAATTTACATAACTTCATTGGTGGGTTCTGTGGCCCATGCTCATTTTCATTTCTACTGTGATGATGCCTCACTACTATCTGGTTCTTAGACCAGGAATATCTGGAGGACCAGCTGTAACCTGCCCATGCATCCACTTTCCTGACTACAGTAGGCTGGTATAACACATCTTGTAGTATTAAAAATAAATATATGCAAACTTCGTTCATTCGTTCATTCATTCTTGCGTGTTTTGTGTTTCCAATGATATTACCTGTTCCTTTCAAGTTCTATGCAAAAGCAGAAAGTACTTAAAGTAGGACATCTGAAGCAAATTGGACGCTAAAATCTGTATCGCAGAACTTTCATTTGAAATACTAGTGTAGTTGCAATAGCTTGATGCAAACAAGGATTGGGGGGTATGTTTACATAAGAATAGAATACAACACTCTTATAACCTGTGTACAGGAAGGAAATTTTTTTCTTAGAAATGCTTTATAATTGCTCTTTATTCACTGTAAGTCACTTGTGTGTGAAACATTGAATGGTGATTGACTTCACTGAAAATTTCACTGCAGACTTTTCCCTTTTTTGTGTAGGTTGTATAGATAAATAAGTGGTTGTATTTAGGGTTTACTGTTTTTTTTTAATGATGCACATGTTTTCAAAGTGATGCTTATTTCAAGTTAGTATATATTTTTGCGAGAAATGGTGAGAAGATTTATTATAGCAAAAATTTTAAACTGGAAGGCTTAAAAAGTGGAAACCAAGAGGATAAGGACCTCTTTAATGTTTTTTGTCACTGAACACTGAATATTTGCTGTTACATTGTGACTTTTCAAAGTTGCCTGCAAGGGTGATTATTTTTTTAATAATGCTTTTTAGTGATAAATTTATCTTTTCTTGTAGATAAAATACAGAATTTGAATGAAGATGATGAGAAGAACAGTCATTTAGTCTATGAGAATGCTGAAGACAGTAACAAAACAAATGCTGAAACTACAGACACTTCTGGATACAACATTGAAGCCAAGGATTTGCCAGATTCTTGGGACTCCCATATCGGAAAAGCGGCAGACTCTCCATCAGAAACATCTCAGACGAAGGGGCCATTAAGAACTCACTTGTATGAATGGGAGGATGAAACTGAAGACACCAGAACTGGAGAGTATATATTAGATTTTGATAGTGAACATCTCCCGGAGATAAAGAGCAAGGATGAGGAGTGTGGTAAAGAAGATACTGAAAATCCAAAGGAAGCCATTAGTGAAGATCTTGTGCAAACTATTCCTAGGCCAAGCAACTGTAGGACATACTGTCGATCCAACAAAGCAAAACCACAGGGGGCGACAAATTTTGACAAGCTAATGGATGGCACTAGTCAGTCTTTATCCAAAGCAAACAATGAGTCAAATAATGATGGTCTGAACCCAGCAAGAAAAGTTTCTTTAAGTAGTGGGACCAGTTTTAGAGGGACAGTTGGACGGACTAGAGACTACACTGTTCTACATCCATCTTGCTTGTCAGTTTGTAATGTTACTATACAGGATACCATGGAACGAATTGATGAATTTACCACAGCAGCCCCTACTGACTTAGGAGAAGCTGGACGCTTAAGAAAAAAAGCAGACATTGCTACTACAAAAACTACAACCAGGTTTCGACCAAGCAATACCAAATCCAAAAAGGATGTCAAATTAGAGTTTTTTGGGTTTGATGATCAAGATGAGGGAGGGGGAGATGAAGGCGCCTCTAGAAGTTCTGGGAGTTCCAATTACAAAATCAAGTACTTTGGGTTTGATGACCTGAGTGAAAGCGAGGATGAAGATGAAGAGTGGCAGGTAGCGGAAAGGAAAGCTAACAAAAAACGAAGTAGGACTGCACCATCATCTTCGCTACAGTCAACCTCTGATGGCAATGAAAACTGTTCCCAGGATAGCCAGCTCAGTACTAATGCAGGTGAGCAGAACTTTTCTGGAATACATAGTTAACACTTAAATTTAGGTGACTTTTGTATTTTGTTCTTTTTGCAGTATACCTAGGAGTTTGAACAGTACTACTGATTTAGAAATCTGAAAGTTAAATTTACTTACTTCTGCTGTGGTCCTGTCTGGTGTTTTCATAGCTGTCTTCAAGTATGCTTTATACCCCTTGATCTCTTGCCAGAGGTAGATTTTTTTTTTTTTTCCTCCCCCTCCCTTTTTGAACAGAAGATTCTTAGTTTTTGGTGTGTTGAGCATATAGTACCTATGCCTGGAAGGCAGATGTCTTCCCACAGAAGCTCCACATCAACACAGAACTATAGAGCCGAGTGCAGAAATTTAAGTAGCTCTTAGAGATGTGAAATATCTCTTTCCTTTTTGCGCTTTTGAACACGCTTGTAAACACTTTGGACTTTTCTCAAGTTTTTTCTTATCCGAGGATGCACAGCTCAAGGGAGAGGCTGTGGGGACCCATGCAGTGACAGTCAGCTGACTGGCTTTGGGTGTGCCTCTACATGTTGATGTATTTGTACTTTTTCTTCAACTTTTCGGGTATCCCCATGTTCTGTATAGGTGGTACATGTGTATGTATGTGTACACACACGCATACGAGTAAAACTATTCATGCAGAATTTGCTGAACAAGTTCTGGTGTTTGAGTGCCTCTGAAAAATTAGACTTGCTTGGTGCTTGGTTGGGTCCCATGTAATGATTTTGACCAAGGTTGAGGTTTGTTGGTGAAGAAGAAAAGGAGTAACTTTGGCGGAAGGTTTCTTTTAGCTTTTTCTTTTTGAAAAAAGCTGATGCCAAAGCACCATAAGATCATAGAATAGTTTGGGTTGGAAGAGACCTTTAAAGGTCATCTAGTCTAACCCCCCTGCAATGAGCAGGGACATCTTCAACTAGAACAGGTTGCTCAGAGCCCCATCCAACCTGTTCTTGGGACGCATCAGGGATATGGCATCCACAACTACTCTGGGCAGCCTGTTCCAGTGTTTCACCACCCTCATTGTAAAAAATTTATTCCTTAGATCTAGTCTAAATCTCCCCTCTTTTAGTTTAAAACCATTACCCCTTGTCCTATCACACCAGGCCCTGCCACAAAGTCTATCCCCATCTTTCTTATAAGTCACCTGTTCTTGGGACGCATCAGGGATATGGCATCCACAACTACTCTGGGCAGCCTGTTCCAGTGTTTCACCACCCTCATTGTAAAAAATTTATTCCTTAGATCTAGTCTAAATCTCCCCTCTTTTAGTTTAAAACCATTACCCCTTGTCCTATCACACCAGGCCCTGCCACAAAGTCTATCCCCATCTTTCTTATAAGTCCCCTTTTTAAGTACTGGAAGGCTGCAGTAAGGTCTCCCCGGAGCCTTTTCTTCTCCAGGCTGAAAAACCCCAACTCTCTCAGCCTGTCCTCACAGCAGAGCTGTTCCATCCCTCTGATCTTTTTTGTGGCCTCCTCTGGACCCTCTTCAACAGGTCCATGTCTCTCCTGTGCTGAGGGCTCCAGAGCTGGATGCAGCGCTGCAGGTGAGGTCTCACCATAGTAGAGTAGAGGGGCAGAATCCCCTCCCTCGGCCTGCTGGCCACACTGCTTTGGATGCAGCCCAGGATAGGGTTGGCCGTCTGGGCTATGAGCACATGTTGCCGGCTCATGTCCAGCTTTTCACCAGTACCCTCAAGTCCTTCTCAGCAGGGCTGGTCTCCACCCCTTCATCCCCCAGCCTGTATTGATACCGGGGGTTGCCCTGACCCAGGCGCAGGACCCTGCACTTGGCCTTGTTGAACCTCATGAGGGACCCATTCCTTGAGCTTGTCCAGGTCCTTCTGGATGGCATCCTGTCCCTCAGGTGTGTCAACTGTACCACTCAACTTGGTGTCATCTGCAAACTTGCTGAGGGTGCACTTGATCCCGCTATGTCATTAATGAAGATATTAAAGAATACTGGTCCCAGTACGGACCCCTGAGGGACACCACTTGGCACTGCTCTTCATCTGGACATTGAGCCATTGACCATCCAACCAATTCCTCATCCACCCAACAGTCTGCCCATGAAATCTGCATCTCTCCAATTTAGAGAGAAAGATGATGTGGCTGGTAAAGGCCTTATGGAATTCCAGATAGATGACATCAGTAGCTCTTACCTTGTCCACTGATGCAGTCACTCCATCATAGAAGGCCTCTAGGTTGGTCAGGCAGGACTTGCAGTGATGAGGCCATGCTGGCTGTCTTGAATTACCTCCCTGTCTTCCATGTGCCTTAGCATAGCTTCTAGGAGGAATCATGCGTATTGGAATAAGTATTTCAAAACACTGCCACTGTTCTGGGGACCTTTTTGGTCCTCCATTTTGGAGCATGAAGCATGAGAAGTTTTGATCCATTCACTGAAGTTGTTAACACTTAATTTTTTAAGACTTTGGCAAGACGTATTTCATTGTGGTGGCGGGGGGGGGACAGGGACTCAAGCCTAGCCTTGCAAATATTGAAGAAGCTTGTTTTTTCCTACAAATAGCTTCTGCTAATATAACCCAGAAATAAAATTTTGTAGGAAAAAAATAATTTGTTCTAATTATAGCTATATCTAAAACCAGAATTGTCTGTAAACCTTTTAATCAAAGGTTGAATTGCAAGGTTTTTTGTAAATTCTAAAAGGGCCAAATTGATACTGATGTTATATGAGAAGATTCTGTTTTCAAACAAAATAACCCTTGATATATTTTAGTAAAACTGAATTATGATCAGGCACTTGCATTCCAGCCTCTTTGGAAAATGGGTTTAACTTACAGGGTCATTTATGAAATACTCTGTCTGAGTCCCTTTCTCTGACGAGTCTTCATTCAGCCATTTATTCCGAGGGGGGAAAAAAAAAAAAAAAATCCCATATACAGTTAATGCAGCTGAGATGCTGACCCGTCAAATAATCCTTTCAGCTGCTGTCCTGTGGAGTCTCAAAATACCTAGTTTGCATTCAGCATTATATTCACCAAAGGAGGCTGCTATACTCCAAGGTATCACAAATTATTTCTCAGAAATACTTTAAGACTATCCCATGTGTTCTGTTAGTTTCTTAATACACTTCTCCACTTCTCAGGTAAGAGCTACCTCTCAGTGCCTCCACTGAGAGATGTTTCCCCTTTTATTTTGCATCTCCTTTGCTCATTTAACTCCTGTTTTGTGCTACTGTAGCCAGGTGAGATTTGACTTGCATTTTTTCTTCTGAAAATTGAAAGGGTGACATCAAGCTATTTCCCTAACTTGCAGCACATTCCCTAGTTCAATCCTGTAGTACAGATTATAAAAATAAGAAAGCTGATGTTGCCCTAAAATTTGTAGGACTCTCTGATATGTTTCATGCTGTCTTCTCTGAGACCTTTGAATTTTTGAGCATCCTGATCACTCAGAACAGCCATGTTAAGGTCCTTAAATATAGCGATGCTGAGTCTGAGAATATATAAAGGACTGCTGTATCGAAGCCTGAAGTTGTGGTAAAATATGTGACATTGCTGTGAGGTATTGTCTTTACAGACTGAAAAAAAAGTGAGTTCTGCATGTATGGAAAATGCCACTTTTGAATCCAAGCCTCAGAAAAAACTTTCAGAACATCTTGCACAATGAAACTTTTTCCTGAAGTTACAAACAGTACTGAGAGGTGCTAATGCTACTCGAGTTCTGTGTGTGCCGTTCTTTTTTGTACTGATGAATAAATCCACAGATAAAAATCCAGTGTTCCCGTTCCAGGTTGACAGGTGAGATGCCAGATTGCCTCTCTGAATTCCAGCCCCAGAAGTTCCTAAGACTGATTTTGACATTCTGTGCATAAAGAACGTTATATGGCATAGTCAGTTTTTTCAAGAGATTGGATGCGTTCTGTTACAGTCTTACAAAATTTTTGTCAAAATACTGTTTTGGTTGAAATCTCCCCACCTTGTCCTATTGCAACAGGCCCTGCTACAAAGTCTGTCCCCATCTTTCTTGTAAGCTCCCTTTAAGCACTGGCAGGCTGCAGTAAGGTCTCCCCAGAGCCTGGTCTCCCCAGAGCCTTCTCTCCTCCAGGCTGAACAACCCCAACTCCCTCAGCCTGTCCTTGCAGAAGAGCTGTTCCATCCCGCTGATTACTTTTGTGGCCTCCTCTGGACCTGCTCCAACAGATCCAGTGATTTGTTTGGTTACTGTAATCTATGCCTATTTTTATGAAATATATTTTAAAATCTCAGTACAAAACATCCTGCAAAGATTTTCTAACTGAACTGGAAATGGACTATTCCTTCCAGTCTAGTAGTTCACAGTTCAGTTTAATGAGTAAGTTTAACAATACATGCTTAAATGTTTCTGGAAATGAAATTTAAGGAAGCACTGAAGACTATATGGATAATAATGCAGGAAAAAATGCAAAGTATATAAATTCAATTTTAGTTAGACTGTCTTTCATGGAAGTGTCTTTTCTGTTCACTTGTACAATAGGCTTGCCTGCTGAAGTCGTTAAAAAACCACAAAAAAACCAAACAAAAGCCAAACAAATAACCCAAACCACAAGATGCCCTGGCTTTTAAATTCCTAGACACTATTCACAGACTTTTCCTTTTGATGAAGGTACCTCATAACTTTTATAAGCCTGAGATTTTTGGTGAAGCTTTGAATTCTAGTTAAAGTTGCCAATTTTTTTGCCACTGCTCTATAAAATTCTCTCATATTAGTTGGTGTAGCAGCCCTGTGAAGCAAAAGCCCCTTTCACTCGTGAGCCTCCCAGCTGTAGTCTGCCGTAATGCCAGGGGCTAAAATTACTGATGAGACTTTGCTAGATCCAAAACAGTACCTGTATCGTTTCACTAGCTAGAATACAGGATGACTCCAGTAAAGAGAAGCTTTTAATTCTGGAGGAAAATTACTTAATTCCTTGACTGTATTAGTCAATGGGGAGTTGTATCCAAGAGAAATCTGAAAAAATGACAAAGAGTAAGCTTAACCAAAAATAACTTTTAAGCTTCAGTTCTCAAGCAAACCTGTATCTTTTGGATGGTGTTATACTCCTGGAAATAACTGTGCTCTCAGTTAGTTTCTGTCTTTTTCTAAGATCCTGCCATGGTTGTCAGTGGTTTGGGTGGTCACTAAGATTTCTAATATATTTACCTTTTGAACTTGTAGTCTCAGAATGCTTTATTTCCCACCTGTTCAACTGGGACACCTAGGGCTATGTTAATTCTTGTTTTACTACTTTTCATTTTGGCCAATGACAATAAAATTATTACAGAAAGTGAGGCATAAAAAAAAAATATGCTGACTAAACTTAAACATTTCCATGTCTCTGTGTAGATTGACATAAACAGAGCAGTTGCTCTGCAGCCTTCCACTAAAGGGGAAGGTATGAAGACCTATCCTCTCTAACATGCTTATTCTTATTTGATTCACCTCCTTCACTACATATCTCAAAAACAGTATAGTAATGATGAACTACAGTATTTCTGACTTAAATTTTAGTAGCAGTTATCCTGTTATTGTAGCGTAAGTATTGCAGCTTAGCCTTTTGCTTTGTAAATCAGTTCTGATATACAATTTAACCTTTGTGTCATGCATTCATTTTCCTTTCAGTGATCAAGATGAGATTCCTATAATCTTTTGGGATAATAAAATAGTTTTAGTATATGAGCATCTAGCACTCAGTTCATTTCTGGTGAGCAAACTTGCTGTATTTTTTTTTTCTTTTTCTTCCTTTGCATCTCCTCAAAAACTGAATCACCTTAATTGGGTAAATATTTTTAGCCAGTTAAGAGTACATCAAAGTCCTCAAAGGCAGAGTCCTGTTTGGACTTCAAAAACTTGTGCAGAATTACCCTCAGGCACTAAAACAAAACTGGGTTGTTTTTCCCCAGGAAATTTACTGTGGTGTTGCCTTCTAGTTCGTCTTTGAACATCTTTCCAATTTTAGCTGAGAGAGGCAAGTTATCTCAAAGATTAAATATGCCTTGAAAATGGTGGCATGGAGGAGAAAAGGCCTTGCATGCTTCCATTTTAAGAAAAAGGTCAACATGTTCATCTTTTCAGTGAGTGGGCAAAAAACATCCATACCAGAGAGCACCAGTGGAAAACAAACTTCATTAGTGTCACTGCTTACCAAACTACTTGTGTCTTTGCCTGGCTCAGTTAATGTTAACAAAAGACTTCTCTCCACACCCTATTTAGTTTAGATTTGAAAATCTGCTAAGATACGTATGCAGAGGGCTTTTAGGATACCTAGAAAGCCTCAAAGAGTATTGCTCGAATAAAAGCATTCCAGATAGTCTCACGAAACTAATCATAATAGTGTTTGATATGCTAGCAACGTAAAAAAAAAAACAAAAGAAAAATTATCCTATTGTAAGTAGGAGTTGAAATGTTTTTATCAAGAAGTTTCTTTGAATTTTAAGTTATCTAATTTAAATGGGATAGTTCAGGATCACATAGGAGTAGAATTCAAAGAAAGTAAGTTAAATGACTTTAAAATTGTGCCTTAGTAGAGATAGAGCACTATTAATCATTATTAACCACCATAGCAGCTCCAAGTCTTGGCACAAGGCACAAACGATTGTGCTGATTTGGTGGGTGAGAACACATCTTGCATTTCTAGTCTAGAGTGACTTGCGTGTTTGTAATTGCTGTAGTCAAGTGGGTTACTTTTTAGCTTTTAATTTGCAGTAGGAGGGTCCAGTTCTGTTGGGTTTACTTCCTTGGGGAATTGTATTTGGGGCCTGGCTTCTTCGAAACTATTTCAGGATTTGTAAGGATAAGGATGTGTATCAAAACAATTTGATTTGACTCCTTTAAGTGGTAAGTTCCAGCAAAGGAATAAGTTGACTTTTATATAGATTTGTGAGTTTTGCTTTATTTAAATTAATGAGAATTGGTCTGTACTATTTTTCTTCTGTTAGACTGATTTTTATCAAAACATCTTGAAGAGTCAGTTCTTTTCAGAGGGACTGTTCATGTTGTGTTCTTAAACTCTTGTGCTGACATTGTACAACTAAACTGAAAACCAGTGGGCTGGGGTGTGAGAGACCGGTTCCAGTAGCTGCCTTTGCAGTGGGCATCCTGCCTGCCCTGATGCTGCCAAGCCCATTGAAATTTACTGCAATTTAAGAAACTTTTGAGCCTTATTTTAAGAATACTTACATCCCCCAGACTAGACAAATTTTGTGTCCTTGCGAGGGCCGTTGGAAATTCGCTTGCCTGATTTGCTTTTGATTGCCTCCTTATCTAGGCGCTTGGCCAGTTGTGTTTACTGGATGCGAGTGCAATTTGGGATTAGAGTAACCAGCCTGCCTGTAATTTTGCAGTGCAGTTTTCAAATAGCAGCAGCTTCTCTGGAATAGATCAGTTTTCTAGACTGTTTATCAGATTAAATAGTGCTTCTCTGTGCCTGACTTTATTTCCGCCTTAAAATTGATGGTAACTTCTGGTTTGTGCCGAGTAAAAGAGCATAAGCTGGTCTCCAAGGGATAATACTTCAAATACAACACAAGTTTAAAGAAAAAAAAAAAGTAGGACAGGAATTTAATTAGATCGGTGAATTGCAGATTTACAGTCCAAAACTGAGTACTAGAACTACTGGTAGGGCAAGTATTGAATACATTGAAAGGCCATTTCAGCGGTTCCTTCTAGCTGACTCCTTTCCAAGCTGATGACCGTATTTTTTTTTAGTACTGTTTATAGCAGAATAAGCAAATATAAGCAGGCAGCCTTCATGAGAAGTGAAGTGGGATCAATTCTTTGGTCCTGTAATTGTAGTGGGAAGTATTCTTCTTCTAAATCTTAGTTTCACACTTTTGAAAGACCCCATCTACTGTTTAATTCATCTGCTGTTCAGAGATGTAGCAGTAAGCCATAAGTAAGCATGTATAGAAGGTAACCTGGGATTCACAGGAGTATAAAATGGGAAATAATAACTTGAAGCTTACACAATGGTCAAGAGGTGCTATAATAACTGTGACCTTGTAATCTATCTTCTATGTGTTACAACAGTCCAGTCAGTAAACCTGAGCTCCATCCAGAGCTGTGTTTGGCTTCAAAGCTGATTTTTTTCTGAAGATGATTGTTTGTTTATTACATAATTTCAGAAGCTACATTTCCATACATCTGGAAATGTCAGGTGCAAGAAATGCTCTAGCAGTTCAACAGCTTTCCATGTGGTTGTTTTATGTCTATATTTACCTTTTACAGATCTTCTGGAGTTTTCAGAGGATGCATCTGGTGTGCCTGAAGGCAATAAGAAATCCACAAATAAACAAGGTGATAAATCTAAGGAAAACACCAGGAAGATTTTTAGTGGGCCAAAGCGGGTGAGTAATAATACCGAGACCAAGACGAATTTCTTATTTTATGTAACTCTTTTGTATGGATATTTCTTCCTATATATTTAACAGAGCTTTTGTCCCAGTTTGTATCTGCACTTGAGATAGTTTGTTGGCTTTTAAGATTATATCTGGAAAAGTAAAACCTTCAAGTGCAAAAATTTTTGTATCGGTTACTAGGAATTTTACTTTTCAGATGCAAGTCTGGCGCAGCACGATGGTAACACGCAACCTAGATGCATTACCTTCTAGATGATTATTAAAGCAAAGCACCATTAAATGCTGTGTGGAGTTTTTTCTTTTTACTTTCTTTGCTCTCCCAAGAAATATCTATCATATTATAGGATTGAACCTTTCCGAAAGCTTCAAACTTGGCATTGATATAGTCTTTATAAGGACAAGTGCCTTTATAACATGTGGAAAAGTGAGAGTTTAAGTTAAAAAAAGTAACTCCCAGTCCCACCCCTGTATACCCAAACTATGTAGTATTGAGTATGAATTTGCCCTTTCATACTGTGAATGGAGCTTATTCATTTTATTGATGTTAGGTGTGGTTTATCTTACCTGTTATTATCGGTTACCCAGTATTTTGAGGCTTCTAAAAATGTGCATACAGCAAAAATCATCTTTAGCTGTTAGGTGAAAGATTGCAATAGTGGGATCCATGTAATCTCCATTAAATGAAGTTTTTATGACTCGATTGTCCAGGATACCCATTTCTAATGCTTAAGGCCTTTTCATATGCTTTTTGCATAACGTGTTTCTGTTGTCTGGTGAAGAGAGTAGCTGTCGTGCCATTGTTGCAGTCCAGAACCGGCATAATAAGAGAAAGAGGGAACTAGAGAGGAAAATGCACTTCTGTTTCTCCTTTCCCTTTTGAGTTCCATGAGTTTTGCAAGACCCATGAGTTGCATGTAGTAATAGAGACTTTTATATGTGTTTAGAATGCATTCAGCAGTCTAACAGTTCTAAGAATTTTTTTAAAAAACGGTTTTCCATGTTATTTTTCCTAAAGAACTCTAATAGTTAAATCACACTCTAAAATTTCTCATAAAGGTAGCTATTTACTTGTGTTCTATGATAGTTTCACCTGAAGTAATTTTTAAAGGTTTTTCTTAGTCTTCCAGAACCAGAAGGTATATTATTTCCCAATATTTTGTTGATATATAATCATTTTCCATTTTAAAAAGTGGATTTGTGGGTGGAAGAAGGACAAAGTTGTTTCATTTCCCAAAATGTGCAAGGGAATGTTTTCATTTGGGAGGACACGTGACCAGCAAGTACTGTTGGTTGTAATGCCTTTTGAAAAGAAATACTGCTGCTTGTTGCTTCGTGACTTTGGACAGAATGGGGAGCTCTTAGCTGCTAACTCTTGCCTCCAGAGTTTTAAGTCAGGCTACTGATAAGTGAGGAGGGTCTTTGCAGAACTGAACTATTTTTTCTTGAAGATGAGAGTTCCTCAGCTTCTGCTGAGTTAAATAATAATTTTTTTATTACAGTAGGCTGAGAAACAGAAGTACAGGGTATGTAAATTTAACTGTACCTTTTTTGCTGTACTTTTTAGCAGCATAAAACAGCTGTGAGTGTTCCTGTAAATATGGACTGTTTTTAATGTTTAAATATTTATATGCTTCAAATACTACTCTATAATAGCATTTTATGTGTTTCTTGTTTTATGTTATACTTTAAATACTTGAGGGTTTATATGAAAACTTTTAATTAATTTTGTATATATCATGAAAATATGGAGGGGGAACTTACAGCAATATCATACTATATGAGAAAATGGTTTCAACTCTAGAAAATTTTCAGTTGGGAATAAACTTAATTCAAGTGGGAAAGGTGAGGATTAAACAGCCTTTTTGGCCCTGTAGAGATATAATGGACTTAGAAGTAGAAATTGCTGTAATTGCGATTCAGACTAAATTTTAATGTTCTTTAACCATATGGCTGTTACATGGAGTTACTAAAAAAGCTTGTAAAGCTTGTTCTGATGGTAATTAGACATGCTCTAATTATCTTCCTAAACTATAGATATAGACTCTTAATCTCAGTTGCATCTTAAGGGAATTTTCATTCTGGGAATGAATTAAAAGTATTAACCTGACCATAACTAAATGATCTTAACCAAAAAAAAAAAAAAGTGTATATGTCTGGAACTTCTTCACTGTCTCATCACCATTTTTTTTCTTGTAGAAACTAGCAGATTATTAATAATTTTCTGCTAGGTGGTGATGTTAGAGATATGGCACTTTGCATCATACTGAGCTGAAAAGTAAACAGCTCCGTTACTCAGGAAGCAACAGGTGGTATTGTTAAACTTCAGGAGATCCAGAAAGCTGAAGTATTTTTTCCAGTTCGCAGTCAGCAGGACTCTCGCCCATGTTTGTGCATTTGAAACCTGACCGTTGTCCTCTGAAGCTAAAGTCCAGTTCTTGAAACTTTGAGCGTATGTGTAATAAAAGATTACAGACGTTATTGACTTAGTGAATAGCAGTGTTTCTAAAAACTGCTTTTAATGTGAGGACTCTAACTGAAATCACTGACTCTTCGCACACACAATAATGAGCATAAAAGTTGCAGTAGCATGTACATTATGATAGGTATGTAAAGTCTCAACCAGAATTCTGCTTTTAAGTGAATTAAATCTCTTGATCCTGAGCCTGACTTACAGGGGGAATATTATGTTCCATAGCAACATAATTATGTACTTACAGTACATAAATATTGGCATTACTTGACTTGCAAATTATGGGTGTGAAGCATGTATGAGTAACATCTGCAAAAGTTTGTTTGCAGCTGTTTACAATTTTAATTCAACTGGTTCAGTAACTCGTGCTCTAGCACGTAAATTTGGGAACTATGGGACTGTGATATGCCCAGCTGCTGGTCCCTTTGAGCTTAGTTCCCCTTCTATGTGTGAAACTAATTCTCAATTATCAGGCAAAAGCCAGTTAAGGTATACAAGAACTTTTTTGTTGCTGTGGTTCAAACCTACTCAGGCTAAAGGGGGGCATAAAAATTCTTTCCTGAGATTTCTTGTTCCTGCCCCTCTCACCACAGAGTTGGGCTAGAGTCAGCAAATGAGGAGAATCAGTTTTTGTAGGAATACCCTGGAGCAGTTCCCAGTGATCATGCAAACTGTGTATGTCTCTAAATAGGAACCTGGAAAAAAAGCACTTGGAAATGTAAGATAAAGAGAACTAGTCTATCCCAAAACTTAATCTTTTGATTGATCAATCTTAGAAGTTGATGCCTCTGCCTGGTATTTTGTGCCAGGGCTATATTGTTAGTTCAGCATTTCTATTGTCCAGCGTGTCATTAAGGACCACCAAATCTTCTGAAGTGCAAGTCTTCTGTGATGGCCTTCTGCTCTTAAAATGTATGTTAAAGGGTGCTCTGCAACTCTGTGCTGATACTAGTTCTGCTTGTGGCCATGGGAAGCCAACCTAGACAAGGTGAATGCTGATTACCTTTGAATATTCCAAGCTAAGAATGTAAACAGAGTTGCAAATCATAATTCAAAGGTATGGGAGCCTTCCAGCTTGAGGAGCCAGGCAGAGGGAAGACTATAATCCTTCTGTTAGAAGGATTCAGTGCTGCTAAGACATATGGGAAGACTTACTGTTTCGCATGAAGTGGGATAAAGGTATAACAGAAAAAAGCACGGACTCTTTCAAGTAGACATACCCAAAAGCAGTCTCCATGTTGTGTTTTCTCAAAGTAACATGAAATTTCAAGTTATTAGATGAGTGCTATATCAGGATTTTTTTCCTGTGCCTTAGCGTAAGTGAATTTTAGAAACAAGGCTTTCTGAATTAATCTCTTAGATGTTGATATTTTTTGCACTGGGTATATTTCATAAAGCTGCCATGATAGTATTGACAGAATGCAATTTAGCACCTATAAAAGACTGACGTTTTCTTGAGAGGATAAAGCATATACTTTTTATGATTGGTGACATGAGGAAGAAAGTACTCACCGCATGGATAGTCTACACTGGTGATTCGTGGACTATTGTTCAAAATAAAAACTAACCTGAATGCTAGTCCATTGCTTAATGACTTCTGATTTCAGTTAAAATTTGTGTATTTCCCTTAGGTACTCATTTTTATGATGAGAATTGAATGTTTATAAATAAATTTAAACTAGCTTAAATATTTTTTTCTTACTCTCTTGTCTCGCTATGCCTGCAGAAATTTCTCTAAGCTTGCTTGTTGAGGTTGTAGCTCTAGAAAACCTGTCTGTTTTGCGAGTCTATACATTTCTCAGGTGTACACAGTGAACAGGAAGAACAACATTACATCAGTGTGCACACATGGGTTTGTTCAGGAAAAGGTATGAAAAAGCGTCTTTGCCACTAACTTGATTATAATAGTGTTTCCTCTGGGCCACACACGTACTGGACCACAGCATTTCCTGAGCAAAGCACTTGCCTTGTTTTTAACAGTGGCATTGCTTGGAAGTTATTCCACTAGTGTGGAAAGCATTTGTCAGGAAAAGCTGAGATTTTCTTGTATGATACATTAAAAAACAACAAGAAAAAACCCACCATGCCAAAACCCCCCAAACCCAACAAAACCCAACCTACTGTAAGGACTGGTTTTGCTTGAAAAAGGCAGAAAATACTGACTAAAGTATTTGGTGAAGCTGCCTTTGCTCTCCTTTTGCTCCACCTGCTCACTCCTGTTCCTCTGCTCCTTCAGTTTCCCAAGGTTGTGTATTGAACTAAATTGAAGAACCCGTCTGTGTTTAAGAAACAACCCACTAAAAGGAAACATTTAACATAAATCTCACTCTGGTTCACTGGGAGACTGTAAACAGTTGTATCCCCTCAGTTAAGGGAGCTGAAAAAGAGAGATTAAGTCATCTTAACCTGGTTAAGTCAACATTGCAACTGAGAAATGCTCAGTGAACACAGCCAGCGTTAGCAGGATTACGTACGTTACTTTGATCAAGTGACATTAATAGAGTTAGTCATGACAGTA